CTGAACAAATAGAAGGATCTACTGAAAAAAGGTTGACTATAGTCTCACCACTCAACTGTACAATGGTTCGTACATTATGTGGATAATAAGAATTAGATGATTGTCAAAACAAAAAATCCTGATCAATGTTGCATGAATGGTACATGCGTTATACGAATCATAAGAATTAGATGATTGACAAAATATGTCCTGCTGATCAATGTTTCATGATCCCTCACCTTGCAGACCCGGCGGCGTGTAGGTACTCCCTGCTCTCCCCAGTCCGCTCCCCACTCTCTCCCGAGACCGCAGCGGCCAGGGACCTGCCGCCTCCAGCTACTTCTGTCTGGGACAGGAGGGTGGATAACAGGGCAGCTAGCGCTCCGAACGCGGCCAGGACGCCAGCGCCGCTGGTCAGGCAGGAGCAGGATGGTCCGGACACTGAACCTGTCAGAAAACCGAATATGTGTCAGTCAGCAGTTCCTTGGCATGATTTTTATCTAAACGTTAGAGTTATTATTGTTCCTTAACCTTCGCCCCAGTGCAGTGGGGGGGGGGGGCATATGTTACCACCCTGTCAAGTTTTTTGCGTGTGAATAAAAAACCGCGACGCGTAGCGCCGCGCCGCTTGGGGTAGCTTTTGGTACATCAATTTTGGACAATGTGTGAAATTTTTTACCCCAGGTCATGTCAGGTCAGGTCGCCAGGTCAAGTTAACTGACCATGCCTAAAAAAAATTTGCAATCATGTCCAGCCTGCAGTGTTTGTCAGAAAGCTTTTAAACTTGGTGGATTGCATGCTGTTTTGGGCGTCTACAATTTGTATATCTCGGATTTTTTATATCCGTGACCTAAGGTCAGGTCAGTGGCGTGGCCTTTCCATTACAAGTCAATGGAGAAAAATGAAAATGCCTCTAGATCCGTGTGTACGCATAGGAACAGTCCAAATATTTCAGAATCACAGTAATTTGGACCACCCGTGATGACCTATGTGTCATTTTTGCTGATAGCCTCTAGAAAGGTCATCCGAGGTCATTTGATGCTACAAACAGATTTTTGCCATTAACTCGCGATTGGAAAGAGATAGAACGCTGGGGATGGTCTCACTGTGTTTGTCTTGTTGAGACGCATCGACTGATATGCAACATGACCTTTTCCGGTCAGGTCATGACCTTGACCTGAGGTCAAATTATAGTTCATTCGACGCGTCTCGGCGAGAGGAACACGATTCTGGCAATAGAAATGTCGTGGCTTTTTGAAGTCGAAAGTTATTGTCAAAAACACTTTTCGTAAAATCAGCTATTTTTGGAGTTTTTGCCCTCTGGAGGCTAAACCGTTGACCTGAGGTCAATTTTGATAATAACCTTATCAAAAGAAGAGTTCAAAAGCTATCGATTGCTGTTCCATGCGTTTTTGTAGCTACCATAGTTCCTGAGATAACGGCATGTTTTCTGAAAAATATAATGAAAATTGGCAATTTTTGACCTTTGATGACCTCTGGTGACCCCAATATTGCTCTGACATGAAAAATGACTGAAATACTTTCAAACGTACGCATTGAGAGCTATCGACTGTTTTTTTACCGTGTCTGTCTAGCCCTCTTAGTTTTTTAGTTAGAGGTGGGTGGTAACATATGCCCCCCCCCCCCCACTAGGGCGAAGTTGGCTGAGACCGCCACTGGGGCGCTGGTTAACTAACTGTCTCAGGAAAGTGCACCGAAAGAAATTCCATGGGGAAAAGTTGTCTTTACTTTAAGCATTACATGAGTGATGCACCAAATAAAGAGTAAATTCACGCAAAATATAGGTATTTGAATTTGCTTACCGTCCCTTCCTTCGGCATCCTCCGTCCTCTCGCTTCTTTTCGCTCTTTTGCTCTTCTCTTTTTGCTTATTATTTTCCGTCTTTTCAGCTTCCTCACACATTACATCCTCTACTACACGTAATGCTAATCTCCACATAGCGTCATCGTTCTCTTCCCCTGTGCGAGGATCCGGCGTTTCCAAAGGCAGCTTCAGCGTGGTGGCTGAATTCAATGTCGAGGTCAAGCTCGAGGTCACATCCGAGGTCAAGGTCGAAGATCTCCCGCCTCCTCCGCCTCCCTGGCCCAAAATTCCTCCAACGAAGAGGGCAGCGAGGACGGCGCTGGCGGCTGCCAAAGCCAGAGTGTTGTACCGTGAACAATCGCATGAGGAAGATATTGTGGGGTAGTGGTAGTTGCTGCTACCCCCGTGGCCAGCATAATCTCCATGGTAGACTCCATTGTAACCTTCGCTGTAAACCCCGTTGTGGCTTCCAGTGTTGTAACCTGCATTGTTGTTGCCTATATTGTTGTACCCTCCATTGACTTCATGATCGTTTCCTTTGCCGTCTTTGAGCTCATTGCCGTACCCTTTACTGTTGTGGAGTTCATTGTTGTAGCTTCCAGTGTTGTGTCCTTTTCCATAATTGTTTATCCCATGAGTCGCGATACTGGAATATCCTACACCACTTACAGTTTTGTAGCCCTCACTGTGAGTAACAATGTGGTCAGGTAGGTGCTGGTATCCATCACTTAACCCCACATCGTGGGCATAAGCTTGTGGATGGTATTCGCCCACTTGAGGCTGGTATGCGTTATGAGGAGGTCTTCCATGACCGCCAACCACTGCATGATACCCATCGGTTACTGAAGTATGCTCAACATGTGTTACACCATGTTCGCCTTTTGGAGAGCTATAGTCATGGTGTTCTTCCTTTGGCGGGTCATACCCAGTATACGGGTCACCGTACCCGGCATTCGGGTGGACATACCCATTCCCCGTATCCCCGTAGAAAGATCCGTAGTGACCATACTTGACATACTCGTCATCTTTGTAATCGACATCGGGTAGACCGAGTCCGTCTCCGTGCTTTGCGCGGAGTTTGTTCTGCGCTCTTGAAAGCTGAGGAAGTCCTTCAATTGTAGCAAGAGGTGCTGCAGTAGGAGGGGCTTGTGACGTCATACCAATGACCTGTGACGTCATTGTCAGCCAGTCGATCAAGAGGGCTAGTATCCCGTTGATGGACATGACCGGATTGGATTTTTATATCACCTATAATCGTTTCTAATGTTCTCTTGGATCATTACTTGTTTCTCGGGCTCGTAACTCATGTTCAGTTGATTAGCTCGGCTCAGGTGTTTGTGACTAAGGATGTCCGACTTTGAGTGCGGGTGAAAATTTCCACATCATCAGCTTCTGCCACTCTCTGCAGTCTGTGTCCACTTCACTTCCTGCTCATTGACATCCACTGTCCACCTTTCCACTATTCAGCTCAAATTCAAGCTTCAGTCCTTGAACGTCCACCTATCCGCTTATTTCGCTAGCCTTTCAATTTTTTGTCAACCGTCCACTACTCTGTCTACCTTAACTGCAAAGCTAGACTTTACCGCTAGCGTTTACGAATCCACTTAGGCATACTTAGGTCATCCACGTGCGTCCACATCTACATTCCACCTTGCCACTTCTCGTCCGCCTCCAACTCTCACTCCACCTTAGGTTATGTCCACCTATCCACTCAGTCCTTCCACCTTGCAGACTTTGCGTCAACCCTCTGTCCACCTTTCCACCACCTAGTCCACCTCCAAGGGTCACCTCTCCACCACTCAAGCTCCACTTTCCACAAACAATCCACTCCACAAAGTCCACCCAACAGCCGACCTTTTCGACCTCCAAGCCCGAGCTTTCCTACTGGAGCCTCTCTGGCCGGCCAACTGCTGAACCAAACTCTGAACACGGATTGCCGCATCACGTGACGCCGCATCACACAGCAGTCACGCTGAGTCACGGTCAGTCACGGTCAGTCACGAGCGTCACCGCTGTCACGAGAGCTCCGGATGGTCACGTTTTGTCACTGAAGGTTGTGTTTCGGGTCATGTTTTAGAGTTAGCTTGGTCACGAGTCTATGGTGATCTTCTCCGTTAGTCGCTGTTTGACATTGACCGTACCGGTTCGTAAAGTCACGTGACTTGTCGGCGACGTCTTTGGATAGTCACGTGGTCAGCGGACTTGGAGCGGCGTCAGATTGACGAAGATCACGTGTTGGAAGCAGTGAAGCGAAGCAAGAGTCACTTGATGAATTGCACTGATTGTGACTCAGCAAATACGTCGGCAGACAGAGCTGAGAACTGTATGAGTGGATGAGAATAGTTGTTGTTTTGTTAAGTTGTGTTTTGTTGTTGTTTTTTTTTTGGGGGGGGGGGGTGTGCTTCTCACAGTCAGTAGGCATGTGACCTTTACACGGAAGTCGGAACCTTTAAAGGCATCGATTTGTGTGATGCAATGCATGTCCGTTCCCTCGATATCTTTGCTAGCTACATGTGTAGGTAATCGTTAAATGCTTTTTTTTAGGTGCTCCTGAATTATTTATTGGTGTGCTGTATTTTATGTGTTTCTTGTAGACACTCGTGTCTCTAATTATCCTACTGGGCTCCTACTGTGTTTTAGTCCCATGTTGTTTTCAAAATCACTTCTAAGATCTATTAGGTACTATAGGTCTCATAGTTTATTACTATTCCTAGGCAGTACTTCTCCGATTCTCGCACCATGTTAAGCAGGTACTTTTGTACTCCCGTACTACCTCAACCATCTCCGGTACCTCCATAGTTACACTGGAGGCCAGCCCGTCAGCTCCTACCCACAAAAACACAACACATATTTTACACTCCAGTGATCACGAACTCTTGTAACTGAGCTCCTAACGGTAAGACTCTGACGGGCGACAATGACTGGCGCGGTGAAAAGTGCTGTCTGCGAGCTGCCCTGAATGCGTGATAACTGACGCGGTTAGCTGCCTCACGGAGCCGTGGTTCAGGTGCTACACATGAGGTAAAATCGCGTAGGTACTTGTGCCAGTGCAAGTCAGTGGCCAGATAGGAGCAAACTGAGTCGGACTGGGAATTGGTTGCCAAAACTGGTTTCGGGCAAGTTATTTACGATCGCTATCATTGCCATGTCACACGTATGTTTTTGTGTCTAAAATAATTATGATAAAATTATAGCCATTTATACTCGTAGCTGTTTTATTTTTCTCTGCGTTACCTACCTACTTCTTTCATTGTTGACAAAGTAAGCCGGCAGGTCAGATTGGTAAATGCACGTCAAACATCAGTCGCATTTCACATATTACCGAACAGCAAAACACCCGTCGCTTATCACTTGTCATTGAAAGAGACACTTTTAGGTAACGACAATTCTGTTCAGGGCGATATCAGACCAGTGCGTGCTGGGTGTCATCGCGTCAATCTACCGTCACTTAGCGTCCATCAGACCAGGGCTGCGGAGTCGGCGGATTTTCGGTGACTCCGACTCCGACTCCGGCTCAGGTTTCCAAAATCGACTCCGACTCCGGTCACAACTGTCGACTCCGACCGACTCCGACTCCGACTACGACTCCGACTCCGACTCCGCAGCCCTACATCAGAGTGACGCGAAGATCAGCTAAGCCGGTCTGATCTTCATCTCGGTCTTCATGAGGTGTGTCAGACCCAGCCACGCACCCCACCAGATTCCCCTGGGGTCGCCTCCAGGAGAGACATAACGTCCGTTAAGGTTGCTCAGCCCACAGCTCCCGTACCACCAGGCACCCTGATATTCGTGGGCGCAGTTGGTCTCCGTGTCTTCCGGGATCCTGTCGTGGGTCGAGAATGTGCTGTTGACGCCGTACTCCAGACCATCGCCGGCATCTCCTGAGTAGTTGGATACACTGAGCCTGTATCCGTCCGACTCTGAAGAGACGCTGAAGTTGGTGTAAATGGCGTAAGCTTGGTCACCATCGAACGCGTCGAGGTCCACTCTCAGCACGTACTGCCGATCTGAAGCGGAAGTCAGGTGCCAGACGTGTTCAAGACCCCACCAGAACTCCCCAGTCAGTACTCCGAAGCCTGTCTTGTAGTCGCTCCAGCCGCGGTAGAAGTCTTTGCGCGGTCTGATGTCGTCTCTGCGCTGGATGACCGTCCAGCCTCCTCCGTCTGTGTCCATGTCACAGCGAGCCCGCACTGACCGGGAGCGGTCGGGGTAGACGAGGTAGGTTGCCGTCGGAGAATCCTCCGGCAAATCGCTGCAGTCGCGGGGATGCAGCAGCTTGTCTGACGTCGAATTCTGCTCGGTCTTATTTTGAGCGGGCTGTGAGCTCAGCTCAGGCGACTGAGATTGCTGAATAATAGCTGTGATTTTGGAGAACTCAGATTCATGGTCGTAAATACGGTTAGCGAGCTTGTCAATCAGTGAGCTTTGAATTTCCAACTCGCTTTCGAGCTTGGCTTGCTGACTCTTTTGATTGTAAATTTGTTTATACATCAAATCGTACAGCTCATCGGCGTTCGACCGAAGTTGAACCACCTCTCCTTCCAGTGACTCGACTCGGGATTCGAAGCTCCTCTCCAGTGCCTCCACTCGTGACTCCAGTCTACTGACCATTGAGCGCATTTCTTGCTGGTCCACTTGGGCTAAATCTTGGTCGGCAGTAGGGTTCACCAAAGCATGCTGCTGTTGCTCCTCTGCACTCGCTATCACACAGATCACAATCAACCACCAGAGCACCGTAGTTTTCTGCCGCCGGGCCGCCATTCTCACAGGAGGAGCCTCTCCAAGATCAGATCAGAGGAGATACGCTAACTGCGGGCCACCAGTGACTGAGATCTTTCTGTGAGCTCTCTCTCCGCTGCGAGACTGTCGTGGCGGAGACTGATGCCAGAGCTCTGTGAGAATGATCTCTACCAGACGAGCCCTGTGCTAACAAATCCAAACATTGAGGCCGCTTTAACTAAACATCGAAAGTGCGTTAGTGAGGTTTTGTAATCTGTGGTCAACACGGATGGGTGAAGATTCATTGACCGTGGTGATGTTCATTTCTGTCAACGCGTAAGATCAATGTCAAATCTACCTATCAAAATTATATGTGCACTGGTTTAGTGGTTATGAACAACAGACCTTCGTCCTGAAGAACGCGTAAATGTTTTGGCAACTTGAAGTGGACAAATTGTGTCATTTCCTCCACCATACAATTTTTAAATTCATTTTGAAGTTAATTGAAGTGATTAAAAATCGCACATCTCTGACTGGTTTCAATGTCTTTCTGTTTGTGACCAATTAGCTAAGGGGGCATTAATTATTTTAACAAGCGGCTGTCACCTATTGATAATGTCTCGTCAAACCTTTCCTTTAGCAGTAATAACTCAATTGCGGAGCCCACGGCCTGTTTGCCTCTGAACGCACTGTGATTTGAGCCCAATTACCCTCCAGTACACTGCCGTGGTTGTGGGAAGCGGGAACCAGTTCCTCCCCCGGGACGGGACAGCAACTGGAGGGGCCCCAATAAAGCTGTGTGTGGCACACCTGATCACCCCACTCTCAGCCATGGCTCGAACGGACGCCGTCCCGCCGCTGCCGCTGATGACGCCGCTGATGACGCTGATGACGCTGATGACGCTGGTGACGTCAGCGGCCGCGACTCTCTACGGCTGGCAGCAGGCGGTGACCCTCTCCGGAGCGCACGTGCAGGCCACCACCGCACCGTCAAAGACCACCTGTGGGATCAAATGTGAGGCCCAATACCTCCACGATTGTACCGGCTTCAGTTATGAGCCGGATGACGGCACGTGCCGTCTGCTGTCTGGAGGCTGCCCCGGTCCGGCCGTCGATGGGCAGCAGGGCATCTATTTGAGTGTTCTGCGCCTTCCAGGTAAGAATGTTTGGAAACGTTATATTTGGTGTGATAGATGTGCGATGTTTACTCATGCAAATTAGCGTTCGAAGTTAGGAATTAGCCGTACAAGTCAATGTCAGGTAGATTGGATGCTTGTTAACCCTCGCCCGTATTGGTGTTTTGTATTGGTGTTTTAAGTGTAAAACTGGTTTACTCGAGGGTACTGAAAGTGTCGTCGAGGTCGGCCGCTTTTCAGCGAATTATTCACGATAAACCGAGGCAGAAGATGTCCGTTCGATTCCCCCTCCCTTTCATCCTGTGTATAAGTGTAAGGTGCGAGGTTTAAATACGAGTGTAATTTTGTTCATTATAAACGGTGTAACATTTTCAATTATGATTATTTTTGTTAAAAACGTTCATTCCAATTTAGTTGATTGTTTCAGCTTAAGGTCTTTGCAAGAAAAACACATATTTTATTTATCATTCTATCGAAAAAGGATATGATTTCCAACTGACAACATCCATAAAATAAACGCCTAAAAGTATTATAACCCGCGCCCTAGTGGCGGTCTCAGCCAACTTCGCCATAGTGGGGGGGGGGGGGCATATGTTGCCACCCACCTCTAACTCAAAAACTAAGAGGGCTAGAAAGACACGGTAAAAAGCAGTCGATAGCTCTCAATGCGCACGTTTGAAAGTATTTCGGTCATTTTTCATCTTAGAGCAATATTGGGGTCACCAGAGGTCATCGAAGGTCAAAATTTGCCAAACTTCATTATACCTATTTGTCAGAAAACTTGCCGTTATCTCAGGAACCACGATAGCTAGAAAAACACATGAAAAGCAATCGATAGCTTTTGAACTCTTCTTTTGATAAGATCATTATCAAAATTTACCTCAGGTCAACGGTTAAGCCTCCATAGGTCAAACATTGTGAAAATAGCTGTTTTTGGATAAAACTTTTTTCACGAATAACTTTGAACCAGCAAAGATGAAGAGTTGGCAATGGCACTATCGTGTTTCTCTCCTTCAGTCGCTTCGAAAAATATATTTTTTACCTGGAAAGGTCAAGGTCAAACTTTGACCTCAGGTCAATGTCACGTGCTGACCCAAATAGGTCATGTTGCAAATCATTCGATGCGTCTCGACAAGACAAACACAATGAAGCCATCTTCAGCGTTCTATCTCTTTTCAATCAAGAGTTATTGGCAAAAAGCTGTTTGTAGCCTCAAATGACCTCGGATGACCTTTCTAGAGGCTATCAGCAAAAAAAGACACCCTGGTCGTCACGGGTGGTCCAAATCATTGTGATTCTGAAATATTTGGACTGTTCCTATGCGTACACACTGATCTATGTAGAGGCATTTTCATTTTTCTCCATTGACTCATAATGGGAAGGTCACGCCACTACCCTGACCTTAGGTCACGGATAAAACAAATTCGAGATAACCAAATTATAGGTGACCATTACATCATGCAATCCACCAAGTTTAAAACATCTGACAAACACTGCAGGCTGGAGTCTGGACATAATTGCAAACTTGTTAGGCATGGTCAGTTAACTTGACCTGGTGACCTGACCTGACGTGACCTGGGGTTAAAAATTTCACACATTGTCCAAAATTGATATACAGCAAGCTACTCCAAGTGGCGTGGCGCTATGCGCCGCGGTTTTTTATTCATAGGCAAAAAACGCGACAGGGTGGTAACATATGCCCCCCCCGCCCCCCCCCTCCCCCACTGGGGCGAAGGTAAATGAAAATATTTGACAGCCTGCTTGAAGATGGAGCCAGTTGCTCATGTTTACTGCAGTAAAGGCTGTTCTATGGATGATGGAAAATATTATGGTGCTGTCTTATCCATTTATTTAGATCTATCATCTAAAGAACGCTGGGAATTTGCTAAAAAAGGAAAAAATCGGAAAAAGGAGCCGGACTGCTATAGTTTTCGTGAACATTAATATGATTATCAGTCGATATATCTGACTCTTTCACAGATGCATTTAACGTTTCGTGCGCCTGTCCGGCCGGCTTCAGCCGCTGTGCCGGCCGCTGTCTGAAGCGGCTGGATGTCGCAGTCAACTACATTGAAGCGGAGAGCCAGTGCGCCGCGCTGGGCGCCCACCTGGCCGTGCCCCGCTCCGACGAGGAGAACCAGTGCGCCATCAACGCCTCCCTTGGCAGCCAGGTCTGGCTGGGCGTTACCGACGTCATCACCGAGGGCCAGTTCGTCGGCGCCGACGGCTGCGGCACCGTGCCGTCCACCGGTCCCCGCTGGGCGGACGGACAGCCCAACAACCTCGGGGGAGCGCAACACTACATCGTCCCGTACCCGAGGCAGATCAGTGTCTTGCCGCCTGGCTGGCATGACGCTGGGCTCAATGAACCGGCCCATCCTCTATGTCAGTTGCCCTGTCACTGATCCAACGAGCACAAGCGATCAGCGCAAACAACATACATACACGGCATGCCCTGCGCATGCACAATGCAAGCTCACAAACAGCACTAGCACATACACAAACACAAATAGACCATACACATTTACAGCACTAGCACATACACAAACACAAATAGACCATACACATGTACAGCACTAGCACATACACAAACACATATACCATACACATTTACAGCACTAGCATATACACAAACACAAATAGAACATACACATTTACAGCACTAGCACATACACAAACACAAATAGACCTTACACATTTACAACACTAGCACATGCACAAACACAAATAGACCATACACATTTACAGCACCAGCACATACACAAACACAAATAGACCATACACAATCACAGCACTAGCACATACACAAACACAAATAGACCATACACATGTACAGCACTAGCACATACACAAACACATATACCATACACATTTACAGCACTAGCATATACACAAACACAAATAGAACATACACATTTACAGCACTAGCACATACACAAACACAAATAGACCTTACACATTTACAACACTAGCACATGCACAAACACAAATAGACCATACACATTTACAGCACCAGCACATACACAAACACAAATAGACCATACACATGTACAGCACTAGCACATACACAAACACATATACCATACACATTTACAGCACTAGCATATACACAAACACAAATAGAACATACACATTTACAGCACTAGCACATACACAAACACAAATAGACCTTACACATTTACAACACTAGCACATGCACAAACACAAATAGACCATACACATTTACAGCACCAGCACATACACAAACACAAATAGACCATACACAATCACAGCACTAGCACATACACAAACACAAATAGACCATACACATTTACAGTACTAGCACATGCACAAACACAAATACACTGGCGGTCGCAGCCGCTAGCAAAAGGGGGGGGGGCAAAGTCACACTCGCGGGACATAACATTTATCCATCACCGGAGGGGGGGGGGGGTGATCGGCTCATTTTTTACGTCCACGAGGTGCCGCGCAGTTGGCATTACTTATGCTTCATCCATCTCATTCTTGCGTGAAAAAATCTTTGAGCTCAATTCAAGGCAAAATCACCAGTACCATTTCCCGTCCCACGGTGTTTCCACCGGTCGGGCCACTGCACCATGACGATGGATCGGTGTATCATATACTGGAAGGTCGGGAACGCGGATTCATGACCTTAGCACGATAAAACAATTCGGAAAAGTACAGATACCTCTTGCTTTGAACAAGCATGTGAAACCCAGAGAGCATTTTCAGACTATGACATTTACTCATATAGTTGTGTGGCGGCGGGAGAGAGTAGGTACACCGACCTCTGGAGACCCCTACAGGTTCCTAGCTTTCAAAATTGGCATCTGAGGGCCGCGCGCGACTCCTGCGGGGCTTCGCAACGGCTCTATTGGGGCTCACTCAACCTGCCTAGCCCTACTGCTTAAAAGACTGGCTCTGAGCCCTAAGGACTTCATCAGTCTCTGCCAGCCCCAGGACCCACACCGGCTCATGGGGTCCCGACGTCGAAATATGAGGGAATCTGCGCGGGATCATCAAGACGTAAAGTTACCTCGATCAGTACCAACGTATAGGCTGTGCCGGAGTCTGCGTGAGCCCTCTGATCTTCAGAAGCCCACCATGTATGTTTTCACTTCTTAGAGGCCAGTTTAGGGCCCTCAGAGACCATTACAGGGCCTGCAAACTGCAAAGGCCAGTAGTTTCAGACCATCAGAGACCGAGTTGGGCTCTCAGAGGCTAATGTGGGTTCTTACTCATTACAGGCCAACATGGGGCCCTCAGAGGTCAGCGTGGGGCCCTAAAAGACCTGCATGAGCCGTCGTTGGACCCCAGAGGCCAGCAGAAGGCTCTCAAAGGCCAAGATGGGCCCTCCTCAGAGGCCAATGCATACCCTTAGAGGTCGGCATCGGGTCTTCAGCAGCCAGTGCGGGGCCCTCAATGGCACCTAAAGGTTCGTCTTGGGACACCAAAGACCGGTGTGAGACTCTCAGACGCCAGTTGGGGCCCCTGACGCCGGTTAGGGGCATTCATAGGCAAGATGATGTGGGGCCTCAGAGGTCGATGTGGGCTCTTAGCGGTCAACGTGGGTGCTTGAGCGCCACTGAAATTCCCTCAGAGGTCAGTGTAGGACGCTCGAAGACCGGTGTGGGAGCAACACTAAAAGCTGGGCGTGGGTTTTTTTAGTCTCGTGACAATCGAATAAGGGCAAGGGTCCCATACACCTATGGGGGCCCATTGGGCATTGGTTGTTTGAGGGGGGCAAATGATATGATGGCCCCCGTTATTGGCCTTGGGGGGGGGGGGGCAATGGGGCATGGCCCTGCCATGTGTACACCGCCACTGTGTAATTACACACAGGCCTCTGAGATTACATACTAGCTCATGCAAACTTTATGCAGGCCCCGGAGGTCCCACACTAATCCTTAAGAAACCAAACCGGCATACGGCGTCACCACCGGGCTAAGGTGCACAGCACCAACCCATGAGGTCTTACTTTCACTGAAGGACATGATGTGGAGTTTGCTAATGTAATAATTGAATGAGGACTTTACTCCACAAGAAATCGTTCGGGTCGGAGCTTTCGAATTGTATTACAAAGCTTCGTCAGCGTATCGTAATCGGGTTCGGGGGTATCGGTCGCAAAATTGAGGACTGATTTTCAATTTGACCGATTTTCAATTTTCATACTCATACTCAATTTTCGCAAAATTGAGGACTGATTTTCAATTTGACCGATTTTCAATTTTCATACTCATACTCAATTTTGCGACCGATACCCCCGAACCCGATTACGATACGCTGACGAAGCTTTGTAATACAATTCGAAAGCTCCGACCCGAACGATTTCTTGTGGAGTAAAGTCCTCATTCAATTATTACAGGTCTTACTTTAGTGTCGTAGAGCCACGCTCATTTGGCAGGGCCCACCCGCCACTGCCGAAGAGGGTCTCATGCCAGCCATTGCTCGGCCTACGAGAGCCTCAAGTAAACCCACGCTGATATTCCATATAAGATCCGGCCATACTCGTGAGCCGGTGCCAGCGACGCTGACCGCCAAATTGTCAGAATGCGAAACTGAGCCCACTCATGAGTGAAATTTACGTCCTTTGATGGCGCGAGAAAGAAAATGAAACATACAAAAAGCTTTTCTAGGACTTTTGTTCGATCTGAAAGGTGGGGCCAAAAGATAGTATGGCCCCACCTTTCAGCACCAAAGGGGGCCATGGCCCCCGTGGCCCCCCTGGGACCGCCTATGCACAAATAGACCATACCTACACATTTACCTACAGCACTAACACATACACAAACACAAATAGACCATACACATTTACCTACAGCACACACGGACAACGTGTGCACAATACAAATACATGCACCGCGTACACACATACAATTACACAGCAAATGAACAGAGCATGCACATACGCAGCACATGCAAACACAAGGAGCGCATGCAGAGAGCTACATACATGTAATTGTACACACCATACGCAAACGTAAAAGTGCTGAGCGCGGGAGGGTCGGGAGCTTTGCTGTCACAGATCCACGGAAAACATACCAACAACATTTTGCCGATTGTTGCAAAGTTGTGACAGTTCTAACCCTATAAGTTGTATGCATGAAGAGCTGACTTGAAAATGTCAGGTATGACAATATTCATCATTAAACTATCTATACGAGTATACGAGTATACTATACGAGATTTAACTATCTATATCTAAACCATCTATCTATATCTAAACTAAACTATCTCGTATTAAACGCGTAATGAGGCATTACAGTAAAGAACGTGGCATTACAGTAACGAACGTGGTGGGTGCCCCCCCCCCCCTTTCCTGAGCCGAGGAGGATAATTCATTCAATTTATAAATATCTGTTATGTTTTTTGCCCTTCAATCAATGAAATGTGTAAAATGAAATCCTATGGTATTATGTATGAAATAAGTAATCTATCAGATATTTTCCAGCTAAAGTTAGCTGGCTAGGTCGTATTGCTGCCTGTGTTTATATGACTTCACGTCTTATCTTGACACGAGTAGCGAAGACTTGAAACTTGGTGGATGTCTGCTGCATAGTTGTGACCTAAAGAGACCGAAGTTTGGTGATGATCTGAATAAAACTTTGGTTGTTATTTGAATTTTGGTGATGACCGCTTGTTTGTGTCACCCTGTAGTATCGAATTTACGCAAACGTTTAGGTATAGTATAAAACATAAACATGCCTATTGCTTATCCACCGACCAACAGAGCGATGATGTCATCACGGGCTGGCGTTCGTCGGTGCTTTGGATCGATAATGAGGAGGTAGTCGGGTCAGTCGGCGGTGAGCGTCGGTCGTGACGGGACTGACCTCCAGGTGACCTTATAGTCGCCGCGGCGACTACCCACAGCGCCAGGGCGACGAGAGCGAAGAGAGAAGTGGGGGTGTCGCTGTTGAGTTATGGAGAGGCACTGAAATTGAAAGTTGAGTTTTTTTTTTTAGTGAGGATCCAGGGAAGTTGGTGTGCCAGTGAATGGAGGACGGAGGTTCGTCTCAATGTCAACTGAATTTAGACTTAAGTAGGCATAAAAATTCAGTAGTCATTTTTCGAGAGCCATTGTAGTTGAAAGTCGGATGAGAGCTGCCCTAAGTGTTTCCAAGAGCTAGGAGCTTGGACCGAGGATTGACCGCGCTGTGGTGACGCAGGAACCACTGGTGAGCTAACGTGAGTTCTGGACGGTGTCCGTTGGACGCTTATCTTATATTTTATCAGAAATGCTATGAACTGCTTGTTGCCACTTTCTTATTATTAACCTCTAAACATAATTTCTAACGTATTCATATGAAGCATCTATCTGTTCATCAAACGCGCCTACTCTAATCTTTCTCTTTCTCTAAGTATGTCTTATTTTATGCCTTAATCTCGCTAACTAGTCCTGATTTGATTGAGTACCCTTCCCAGATTTACCATGGAGAAGTACGACCAGCTCGGCGTGGTAGGCGAGGGGTCGTACGGCGTGGTCATCAAATGTCGACACAGGGAGTCGGGAAGGATCGTGGCCATCAAACGCTTTCTGGAGGGCGAGCAGCAAGACGTGCACGTGCGAAAAGTGGCCATGCGCGAGATAAGGACGTTGAGGGTGAGTATTATTGGTGAGATGAAGGATGCATTAGGAAACTTGCCATTGTCACGCGTCTGTAAGCCTGTCACATTGACAGCATACCCCACATTCGTTACCTTGTCTCTCGCCTTGTCCTTTCTAGTCGTCCACTATTCATAACTCAAATCAAAAGGATACGAACCCCACAGTCGAAATATCACCTGAACACATCCACTGAGTACATTGTAAGACCAGGAATCCCTCTTTTGCTGCTTCTAACGTTGTACTGCATGTTCACAGCGTCTGCGACACGAGAACCTGGTGAACCTGCTGGAGGTGTTCCGTCAGAAACGACGCCTCTGTCTGGTGTTTGAGTTTGTGGAGAACACAGTGTTGCACCTGCTGGAGGCCAGGGGGGACGGAGGTCTGCCGCCGGACGTCGTCAGGAGCTACATGCTGCAGCTGCTGAGGGCGCTGCAGTTCTGCCACGCACAGTCGGTATGAATCATTGCGCAAGCGGGAAATATGATCCTTAGCTCTGAATTGATCACAGTTTTAACGTCCTCGAAGGAGACTTTATAATTTATAATTTGTTTGAAATGGATGCTTGTATCATGTCCGATTTACATGCGATGCCGCTGGCGCGATGTCTGTCTTTTATGTCTCTGATATATTATCAAACTAATTCAGAACGGCATAGCTTGACAGATCCGCACATGCTCGGCTAAGTAGATAAACCTACGACATCAATATAATTATTACTGTCTGGAAACATGGTCAGCGGCGAAACATCTCTTCGCTGCACAGATCATCCATCGCGACATAAAACCGGAGAACGTTCTGATTTCGGCCGGCGGCGTGGTCAAACTGTGTGACTTCGGCTTCGCGAGACCCCTGGCGGCGCCCGGAGAAAGCTGCACTGACTATGTCGCCACTAGATGGTACCGTGCTCCCGAGCTGCTCGTCGGTGAGACAGCCTATGGCAAGTGAGTTTATCATGCTTTTACTAAGAAATTGTCAAGTGGCTGACTGGGCTTGTGTGTCTTGATGTGGAAGGTTTGAAGCGAATAAAAAACAGGACCAAACATCAAACCTTGCACGCACCCAACTCAACGGAATTGATGTTAACAAACATATCGAGAAATTCGTACTAATTTGACGTTGCAAACCTGAACAGATAAATGTGATTATGTGAATATACCTGTAGGTGGATTTGTTAATTTTTATGTAGGTATGTTTATATGTCTGTGTTTGACAGGGAGGTGGATATTTGGGCGTCCGGCTGTTTGTTTGCCGAAATGCTCACTGGCGATCCACTCTTTCCCGGCGAGAGTGACGTAGACCAGCTACATCACATTCTGCAGGTCACAGGTCAGGTCGCAGGTCAGGTCACAGATCAGGTCACAGGCTAGGTCACAGATCAAGTGACAGATTTAGTCACTATGTAGAGTTCGTTGGATAGACGTAGAGGCCATGCCCACCTCCATGGAGGTTATGCTCTCATATGATGTTATATTTATCGGTCAACCTATTTTTTTTTTACAAAAAGAAGACGTTACGTGACGTTAACCAGCTTGGTGTAAAGAAACTCCGCATGGTGTGTCGTTTCGGGAACTAGCGAATGAAGTTTAGTACCGCCGTTCACCGGTGGATGGCGCTAGCTGGTAGTTTCGGCGAAAAATCCGTCTGAGATGTTTGAACGCTTCCCTTAATCCCTTGTTCAAACATGGACCCCGTCAGTCCCGGCAGAGGTATTTGTCCAGTGTACCTACACCGCACCTGAGGACGGGTCAGCTGAGGGAGGGGAGCCTCACTATTGTGGCCCGAGGAATGCCGCGCCGGTCGGGGGACGGGGTCGGGAGGAGGGAGGGGGGGTAGGTAGCGCCGTTCTTGCGGTGACGGGCTGGCTTGTCGCCTGGCTACGCTCAGTCGGCGAGGCGCTGCGTATGACCCGGGAGCAGCTGAGAGTCCATATAGACAACTGGCCCGTTTGTAAGCACGAACACTTGGAATATTGCTGTTGCAGAATTTTAGCATAGGATTAGGGACGATGTTATTTTTTTGCCAAATTTTGTGTAGGTAGGTACATGTAGGGAATTGATAGAAGTTTATTGTGACAGTTTCCAAAAAAAAAAAATCAGTACAAATTTCGTTGAGATATCGAGGTTTTAGTGACGTCATGATTTGAGTTTTTGACAAAAAACGACACATGTTAAAAAAAAAAATGATAGGTAAAAAATCGCAGAATAGACACAAACAGACATGCCGTAAACGTCATTGGACTGCCAATACCTACCATGAACAATCAAATTGCCATCTTCGATTTTTGATTACCTATCGTTCTACGGTTTCCAAAATCTTGAACGGAATCTTGGCAATTTCTTGTGACTACTTCATGACCATGATGCATGCATTTCATAACCCGCACCCCGCTGGGAGTCCTTTAGGTACATACACGCCCTGCTGGTGGGCGGGGGTGTTTGAACACCCCCTTTTAACTCGGCTCCTGGGCCATGTAGCGATACGGGGAAAGCGACGTTCGAAAAAGCGTAAGGAATGATGGCGAAATTACTTAAGGCCGTGTTACACTGCCGAATTTTGGCCACGACCCTGTCGCCGAATCACGTCGTGTAGGAAATCGACGAACAGTTTACCGACAGAGGCGAACAGTTCGCCGACAGAGCCCGATTTGCAGAAAACGGGTGAGGGGCCCCCCTAATCGTGCGCGGGTCGAAGCTGATCCATGATTCGGCGAACATCGCGAATGAATGGCGAATCTGTTGCGAATAGTCGGCGATACCTTGGCAACAAGTCGACGCACGCAGCGACATGTCGGCGACGACTCGGCGACTGTTTGGCGATCATGTTCGTTTATTATAAATTCGGCGAACGGCCACGAAATTTTCATTTTTCATGAAATATTCGTGGCGGTCGTGACGAACCGTAAAAGTCGCGCGGTGGACACCGACTGGTCTGCGAAATGCCAAGACCGTGGAAGAAAGATCCCGAATCGGTCCGCGACATAGGATGACTTGCATATTCGTGCACACTCGTGTACCAAAATTCGGCAGTGTAACAAGGGCTTTAGGTCACTTTTTCGGTCAGGTCAAAGGTCAGGTCACCAGAGGTGTTTTGGACCCATGCTACTTAAAGCCCAATTTCATGTGTTTGACCTGACCTTGACCCAACCTGTGACCTTGAAATTCAACTTTCAGGTACTCATCGGAAGTGTCTCGTCGCGTTCTTTCGTTTGTCTCCTCGTCCGTTTTGCTGCGTCTATTGGTTCTTGAGTTATCGGCTGGGTAGCTCTATTGGTTCCCGAGTTGTGCGCCGCTTTTTGAAGAAAAAATGTTGACATAGGCAAAATTTGACCTCTGGCGGCCTGACCTTTCACCTGGCTTAAAAAACGATTAACTATTTTCTTCATTATTTTTTAACGCTGTTTTGAATGCCACTTACCACGTGTCACCACGTGGCCCAGGAGCCGAGTTAAACGTGTGAAAACGCCCCTCCCCCTCAGCACGACACGGAAAACTATGACCATCAGCACGGTGCGGGTTAACTTGACAGTTGAGCTTATCAGTTATCCGCCCCCTTCTAGCCAAACGCTCATCCGCTGTTTTAGCCTGCGTCAGGGAAACTGAGGACGCCGAGACCCCGGACCTGGTGGCTGCCCTGGCCCCTCAAGCAGATTGATGCCGAGTTGCTTCGCATCGTTGATATCGAGGACATCAACGATGTACCCGGTCAATTTTCTTTCGCCGCCGACCTGAATATTATATGGATGGTGTTGGTCTGGCAGGGGGTTTGAGTGAATTTCTCTTTGGCCATACTGTGCTGTTCGCCCGAGAGCTACAGTGGCGTCACAGCGGTCAATATTTTTATTCTTACCCCTTTCCACACAGTATTCATTTTATTACATGGCCGGTGATGGCCCACTCCAACACGCTGATAAATATATCGTTAAATATGTCGACGCTCAGAAGAAAAATGACAAAAAATTCAGACGCGTGGATTGCTATTGGCAGTTGTCATGGACTAACAAAAATATGTAATCCCTCAGAATGAATACTATATTGATGAGAAACCGTCAAGTGCCCCAAGGTACGGTTCCGTTTCTGGTGAATAACTTAGCAAAAAAAAAAAAAAAACGGCCGCAGAGCCGCGATTTTAGCAGCATCGTGTTCGCCTCGCTCAGGCGCGTCGAATGGTATACTTTTTGTTTGGGTGAGGTCAACTTAAGGTGTTGACCTCAGGTCACGGTCAGGTCAGCGCCCCCAGGTCACGACATTGGTCGAAGTAGGTTATATCGCATATCATTCGATTTGGCAGGTCTTCCTGAGTCCATTGGTTGCTTTCCCGACTCGCTAGCTCAAATTGCTCGGGAGTTATTGACGAAAAACTAATATGACCCTAATGACGTCACACAAGGTCAAAATTGCAAAACTGACGCATGTTTCCTTGCAAGGAGCATGCATCAAAAAGCACGATTCTGTGTGCTTGAGATAGTTGGAGATCGTTCCCGGCGCCAGAATAGCAGTTTTCATTTTTCCCCATTGACATAACGGTGAGGTCACGAAAATGGCCTGACCTCATATGATCTTTAGGAAATTCCGAGACATACAAGTTATGAGACTCGTAATGGATATTAGATCATGCAAGTTTCATTTCCCTGTGAAAGCTACTCTGGCAGTGAGGGCGTTGCGAAGTTGCGACATCTGACGACCGTGCAGAGGTTCCCTTATGACGTCATTGTTCAGTGACCTGACCTGACCTGAAAATGCGGTTGGCGTCAAAAGATCCGGCTTGAATCAAAGGTCAGGTATGCCAAGTTAAAGCTCTTTACGTAGAATAACGGAAATTTCTGAGTATGAGCGGCCGGCCGGCCGTGTTCACGATTCTGCGACGCTTATATCTCAGCAACCACTTGACCGATTTACATGCGGTAAATTTTGTAGGGTAGCTTCATTCCTTCTACCAAGTATTGGAATATTCCCGATGCATGTGGGTGACCTCTTATGCACGTGCCACGTGCAAAACGAAGAGGTGTCAGTTTTGTAATTGTTGCAATATCTCGGTAACTACTTGGCCGATTGCGCCGAAAGTTGGCATGTAGGTACAGGGTGCGGAAAAAGTTCTGTCATATCTCCGCATTTCCACAAACAAATGCAACCTCAGCAGCTATATTTAATAAAACCACCAAACACTGGTTGCCACATCTTACCACATGCTTTCACTCCCCCCTCACTCAATATAACCCCCCTCAGCGGTGACGACCTTCTCCACACAAGGGTGAAAAGACTGGCATGTCTTGAAGATGTAGGCGGGGTCCATCGTCTCCCACGTCTTCACGATGTGCGCTTTGAGAGCCTCCACATTAGGATGGGACACTCCCTGGACCTCCTCCTGCAATACGCTCCAGATGCCGTTGTCGAGGGAGTTCAGGTCGGGTGACTGAGGAGGCCACATCTCCCTGCGCCAGAAATGGGCCTCCCCCCGACCCCTCCCGTCAGCTTCTGCTGGGTGGAACTTGCAGTGTGCACGGGCGCTCCGTCCTGCTGGAGCACAAAATTGCCGAGTGGATAGGTCTTCAGGATCCATGGGATGACGTCATACACCACCCTCTTCACCTTCTCATTGGCATCAATGAAGAGCATCGGGCACTTCTTGCCGTCCGAACCCACCACGCCGAGCACCATCACTTTCTGTGGATGTTTATTCACCGGATTGAATCGAATCATCGGATCGACAGTCTCCCCCTTGGTCTCCCCTGCTCGTATTTTGGCTTTATGCGCATGACTGTTCGCCAGGTGACTCCACATTTTGCCGTAACCTGCTTATCGGTCATGCCCGATTTGGCGGCCGCCGCAGGCACCCAGCGACGAGGCGTCGTTTAGCCTGCATTTTCATGACTGACCGTGAATGGCTGGTAGTTTCTGCCCTCCGGCCAGGTGGCTAGGTCACCGAAGGTCACGCCTGCGTCTATTCGCTGCCCAGAACTCAACCGCAGCGCTCGTAGGCGAGATAAGCATGCATATGACAGAACTTTTTCCGCACCCTGTAGGCACCCACTAGGCACTGCATATCCATGTGCCAGAGTTGGGGTGCTGCTGCACGTGCGCACGTGCAGGGGTCGTTTCCAGATCTCGAGAACGGCTGGACCGATGGCGCTCAAATTTGGTACACGGTTAGAGACCAGTTAGTAGGGTGCCGTGCACAAGTCAGTTGGGACCCTTTGCACGTGCGCACGTGCAGGGTGCCGCTTCCATATCTCGAGAACGGCTGGGCCGATTGTGCTCAAATTTGGCACATCGTTAGAGACCGGTTAGTAAGGTGCCGTGCACAAGTCAGTTGGAGGTACCCCCTCGAAA